TGCTGTCCTGCCTGGCCTGGGACATCAACCCTGTCATAGTGGCGAGGACAACTGTCCCAGGACATGGCTCTGTCCTCTCCTCTCATGGTGCCTCTGGCCTGAGAACCAGCTCTGCAGCGTTGGGCAGGGCCAGGTCAGCCCAGCTCTGGTGTGAGCTGTGACACACACACACAGGGGGGTGACACATACAGAGAGGTGTGTTTCCTGGTGGTTAGAGGTGTCTGGCCTCAGGGTGGTGTGATACTACCAAAATACTTAATGACGTTCATCTGGAATGACCTGCATAACTTGCCCGTGTCTCCAGCAGTTGCCAGCTCATCCCAGACATATCCTGATTTAAAACCATCCAACTCCTCCTCTCCTTGCAGAAATCTTTTGGAGAGTGGACTACATTCTAGCAGCCCTCTGCCCAGAGACTGACCACACCAGCAGCTTCTTGAAGAAATGTGTTCATCTTTGCATCTGCTTCAGCTCTGAGGCAGATCCCACCCCTAGGCTGGCTGGTGGAGTGTCCTAGGGGTGGCAGTGAGGAAGCCACCAGGGATGTCTGCTCAATCCCAGCACAGCAATGTGTCCTTGTTGCCAAGAGGCCAATGGGATCCTGGGCTGCGTAGGGAAGAGTGTGGCCAGGAGGTGGAGGGAGGTCATTCTCCCCCTCTGCTCTGCACTGGGGAGGCCACAACTGGAATCCTATGTCCAGTTCTGGGCTCCCCAGTTCAAGGGGGACAGGGAACTACTGGAAAGAGTCCAATGTAGGGCAACAAAGATGATTGAGGGGTTGGAGCATCTCTCTGATGAGGAAAGGCTGAGAGAGCTGGGGCTCTTTAGCCTGGAGAAGAGAAGGCTGAGGGGAGACCTTATGAATGCTGACAAGTGTCTAAAGGATGGGTTGAGGGAGGATGGAGTGGACTCTTTTCAGTGGTTCCCAGTGACTGGACGGGGGGCAACGGGCACAAGCTGGAACATGGGAAGTTCCATTCAAATATGAGGAAAAACTTCTTTCTGCTGAGGATGACAGAGCCCTGGGACAGGCTGCCCAGGAAGGTCATGGAGTCCCCTTCTCTGGAGATCTTCAAGACCCACCTTGATGTAGTCCTGAGTGATGTGCTCTGGGCAACCCTGCTTTAGCAGGGGAGTTGGACTGGATGATCTTTAGAAGGTCCCTTCCAACTACAGCAATTCCATGATTCTGTGATTCCATGATCCCCGCGCAGTGGGACCGTGGGGAGGCAGGAGCTCATGGCTGAATTTCTACTCTCTGCTTTTCCATCCACACACAGCTCTTGCTCAGCTCCGGAGCTGTTGACCCGGTAGCACCTTAATGACATTTCAGGTGGCATTTTTTTCTTGATGGTGTTTTCTGAGCAGCATTCCTGTTGGGGACAGGCAGCAGGGCTGGTCGTAGAGTCCATCCGCTGCCCCAGGGCAGCTCCGGCGCCTGGCCAGTGTTTGTCTAGTGTCTCCTGAAAAATGCTGTCCCTTACGCAACTGCGCTGTTGGAGAACTTCCCAAGTGTTTTCCTTCTGTTCCACCATCTGTATCTTTTGTCTGGTTGAGCTCTTTTGCATCCAGGGCCGTCCTTCCCTCCCGTGTCTGCACAGCAGAGACCTGTCTCCCGTAGCCAGGGTTCCCGGGCACCGCTGATAAAACAGGTTAATGCTCGGAAAGTCCGGTTTGAAATTTTCTGCCGTTCTCCATAACTGTCGTAATGATCTCATCCTTGCATCGCCACGGGATACTTTGTGACATCTTTGGGAGAACAGCTTGGGAAGGACCTCTGTCAAGAAAACAGCTGAGATTCTGGTGTTTTGGGCAATTTGCAGGCTTTGCTGTTGGTACTTAACAGTGGAAACAGCATTTGGAGGAGAAATAGGCGATTTTCCTGGCATATGCAATACTATAAAAATACCCCGCTCTTTCAATAGGCCCTCGCAGTGAGATTTTGCTAGGAATAACCAATAAAAAGTGTGTGGTTTTTTATCTTGCTGCCATCTGGAGCTCTCACATCCTGGCAGTGGGGAGAAGCCCGGCGTGTCCCCTGGCAGATGTGCGGTGCCCACAGCTGGGAGGGGAGATGGTGTCCATCCCTCTGTCTGTGGTTCATGCATCTCTGCTCAGCTCCCTCACCACAGCAGCCGCCTGTAGCCCCTCCATCCCCTCCTGCTCGGAGCCCCCCAGCTGATGGAGCCAGGTGTGGTGGTTTGCTTCTCCCTGCAAAGAGGAGGGGGCAAAATGTCCATACAGAATGGGTTCCCCTGTGGCCAAGAAGGCCAAGGGCATCCTGGAAGATGCACACAGGAAGAGCGTGGCCAGCAGGTAGAAGGAGGTCACCCTCCCCCTCTACTCTGCCCTGGTGAGGCCCCATCTAGAGCACTGGGTCCAGTTCTGGGCTCCCCAGTTCAAGAAGGACAGGGAACTGCTGGAGAGGGAACAGCAGGGGGCTAGAAAGATGATGAGGGGCCTTGAGCAGCTCTCTCATGACGAAAGGCTGAGGGACTTGGGTCTTTTTAGTCTGGAGAAGAGAAGACTGAGGGGGGATCTGACCAATGACTACAGACACTTAAAGGGTGGGTGTCAGGAGGATGGGGCCAGTCTTTTTTCAGTGGTGCCCAGGGACAGGACAAGAGGGAACAGGCACAAACTTGAGCATAAGAAGTTCCATCTAAACATGAGGAGGAACTTCTTTCCTGTGAGGGTGGCAGAGCCCTGGCAGAGGCTGCCCAGGGAGGTGGTGGAGTCTCCTTCTCTGGAGACATTCAAAACCCACCTGGACACGTTCCTGTGCAACCTGCTCTGGGTGGCCCTGCTCTGGCAGGGGGTTGGACTGGGTGATCTCCAGAGGTCCCTTCCAGCCCCATAGCACTCTATGATTCTGTGATTCTATGCTCCCAGGGAGCAAGAAGGGGTATCAGGTGTGTGGCTGCACTTCCCCACGTGCAGCCTAGTGTTGGGTGCTCTGAGATCACCTAGGCTACTAGCCAAGATAACATGCAAAGGCTGCGAATTTGCCTTTGGCGAGTTGCTTCTCAGACCGTTCTGATGATTCCCTGCGTTGCTGGGGCTTCCTGTGCAAACAGCTCTGTGACCCTGCAGGGAAACACGTGATGTCCAGGAAGTTCATCCACGCAGCCATCTGATAGCCTGGAGAGAGCTGCAGGACAGGGTGGATGCTGAAGCCAGAAAACCTGGCCAGCCATGAGGACACACAGCTTCTGTGGGCTCTATTAGTACCCAGCACCTCTGAGCTGGCTGCAGTCAAGCTGCCTGAAGCCCTTGTGCTGGTGTTGTTCCCTCCTGCTCTGGCTCTCCAGCCTTTCAGATGCTCTGTCCTGCTGAAGGTTGTACCCCAGGAACACGTGGGAGCGGAGCTCTGCAGAAGAGGTGGGGACATGTCCTTCTGGCTGATGCTTGCGTTGGGTGCTGTGCCTTGGGTCCTTCTTGTCCCTATGTCCTTCAGGGCTCCTGAAGAGGCACTGCTGTCCCAGCATCACGTGCGATGCTGATTTCTGCATAATTCCTGGCTGATTGGGACCTCGGGGGAAAACTGTCCGTATCACAAGGATAACTCTGGGTGCCCTGGACAGGGTGAAAATGAAACATGAGGAACTACAGCTTCAGTCATAAGCCCCAAAGCAAATATACCCATATTTTTTATTAAATCCAAATAATCTTGCTCTGTCTGGAGTCCTGCATAAGAAAGCTCTAGCAATTCATTGCAGAGGGATGTTTTCCTCTCAGAGGTGACAGAAATGGTGCCCAAAAGCTTCTGTGATGTGGTGATTTTGTAGTCTTGTGGCCTCCAGAGAACCTTCACTCGCTTCCCAAAGTGGTATGTAGCCAATGTAAGCAATAAGGTTTTATTAAATGGTTAGAGGAGAAATGCTTAACATTTGTGGGGAGAAAACACACTCAAACACATGTGCTTATCATGCCCTATATGATCCTGGTGGGTCGTGAGGAGCTGGGGCTGCATGAAGCAGGTCAGGGGAGTTGGGCTTGAGGTGGGTGCTGTGCTGGTGACAGCACGTGGGACTGGGACGATGCGGGACCCACATCTTGTGTTTCTAGGCAGACCTTAGTCCTTGGCCTTCACCCACCAGCTTTACCTTCTGTGACCCATGAAACTGCTTCCCCTGAGCGCTTCAGACAGGCCGTTGCAGGCCGTGAAGCTCTTCCCAGGGTAATGGTAACACGAGGAGGAGCTGTAGGTCTGTAGCGTCCCCGGGGGAGCACACACGGAGCTGTACCCGGCCCTGGGATGGCTTCTTCCCCTCCTTTCTGCCGCTTTGAGCTGTGCAAAGTGGAGAGCCCCCTGGTAAAGCAGTGAGGGGGCACTGAAAGTCTCCTGCAAGCTCCAAGAGCATACAAGCTTTTATGTGCTGCCTGTTGTGTGTGTCAATAAACATGAACTCTGGAGGAAAATGGGTTAGAAAGTGTGAGAACTGCAGAAAACCTTTTAGTACATGGGTCATTCCCTTGCTTAAGCTTTTCTTGCTGTTTCCACGACAGGTCTAGAAATAACGTTCTGTCGGGCCAAGAGCTGTTGTAGCTACTGAGTAGATGTATGATGGAAGGAGTCCTCCTTGGCAAGGCCTGTCCCTTGGATGGAGGCACCGCGCCAGACTGCGCAACAGGAGTAAAGACATGGCTAAAACCCAGCTCCAGGTGGAGAACTGTCTCCTCTGGGGAAGCAGCCAGGAGACACAAAAAGCCCCAAATTCCAGAGCTGAGACCCTAAAGCTGTGTCACTGCCTGGTCGTGAGCTGCGGGGGCTTAAGGTAGATTTAAGAATGGAGTTTTGTAATCCTACCGGTCTCACCTCTGGTTTCCATGTATGTTGCCCAGTTTTACCAGGCAGGTAAAATCCCAGCCTTGGGGAATGACTGGGGCGGCTGGGAGCCAGGAAGGGTTGATGGGTGAAGCTGGCACCTGGCTGAGCATCTTACTGTTGCAAAAGCTGCCTGGTTGCGAGCTGCGGGGGCTTAAGGTAGATTTAGGAATGGAGTTTTGTAATCCTACCGGTCTCACCTCTGGTTTCCATGTATGTTGCCCAGTTTTACCAGGCAGGTAAAATCCCAGCCTTGGGGAATGACTGGGGCGGCTGGGAGCCAGGAAGGGTTGATGGGTGAAGCTGGCATCTGGCTGAGCATCTTACTGCTGCAAAATGCTCAGAGAAGGCCAGAATTTGCATTTCTTTTGGCAGTTGTAGCTTGCAGGGCGCTTACCCTGGTTTTGCCTGTACTTGCATGGCCAGATGTTTCTAACTTTGTTGTTTTTCCTTCTTTCTTTCCAGCGGATCGTTGTAAAGAAGTACAGCAGATCCGAGAGCAGCATCCAAACAAAATCCCGGTAAGTTACCCCTCTGGCTATTCTGCATTAGCCTTTGCTCTCAGGAACCCTCCGTGCCTCTGGGCAGCCTCCACCAGCTGGCCATGGGGGCTACAACACTCTGCTCCCCAGAATCAACACAGGATGCTCTCCACAAGCCTCCAGTGCCTTGTGCGTGTAGCAGCTCAATAGCAGACCCCATTCTCAGCAGCGCAAAGCACAGTCTTTCTCTTAAACTTCATGGTCGCCCTAGAAGCAGGGCACTGATTTGATCTCAGATCAACTTCCAAGCCAGCGCAGCAGAAGACTCTGAAACGGCCTGTTGGTGGTGGTGTGGTAGGTACCTGACTTCTCCTGGATAACCTGGTAAGGATTTCTCTGCCCCTGCCCAGAGAAGGATGTGCGAGATGATCTGTGCTGAAAGCAGAGAGGCTCTGTTAGGGTAGAATCATAGAATGGTTAGAGTTGGAAGGGACCTTAAAGACCAGTTCCAACCCCCTTCCCTGGGCTGGGACACCTCCAACGAGACCAGGTTGCTCCAAGCCCCATCCAGCCTGGCTTTGAACCCCTCCAGGGATGGAGCAGCCCCAGCTTCTCTGGGCAACCTGGGCCAGGCTCTCACCACCCTCACAGCAAAGAATTTGTTTCTAGTATCTAACCTAAATCTCCCCTCTTTCAATTTAAAACCATTCCTTCTCGTCCTATCACTGCACTTCCTGACAGAGTCCCTCTCCAGCTCTCCTGTAGCTCCCTTCAGATACTGGAAGGCTGCTTTGATGTCTCCCTGGAGCCTTCTCCAGGCTGACCAACCCCAGCTCTCTCAGCCTGTCTTCACAGGAGAGGTGCCCCAGCCCTCAGATCATCTTTGTGGCCCTCCATTGGACCCGTTCCAACAGGTCCATGTCCTTCCTGTGTTGAGGACTCCAAAACTGGACACAGTACTCCAGGTGGGGTCAAATTCACTGGACACCAGTATCTGCACATTTATTGACTGCTGCTTTTAACGTGGTTTTCATGGCATCAGGCTGGTTCTGTGTTTCTCTAGAGTTGTGGCAGAGCTAATTATGGTGCCTTAAGGCTCTAGCAATAAGGACAGGCTAGAAATAACCTGTAGATAAAATTTACATACATGCATATATCAAGGGCCTGTACACAAATGTGGGAAATGAGCAGAAGGAGACGGAGCTCTGGACACTTTAACTGGCATTACTGAAACATGGTGGGAGAGCATCCATGGCTGGCGTGCTCTTTGTGTTTGGGTCACAGAATCACATGGGGTTGGAAGGGACCTCTGGAGATCACCTAGTCTGACTCCCCTGCCAGAGCAGGTCCACCTAGAGCAACACCACGTGCCCCAGGAGAAGGCTTCTTCGTCCTCAGGACCTGGCTGCTGGTGTGGTTGTCTGGGAAGGCTTGGCCACAGCAGAGACCTCTCCCCTGCTCCAGTGACCGCTTTGCTGGGGGCATTATTGTCCTTGATGGCATCCCAAGGGCCTGCATTGTGAGAGGATGAGGAGCTCAGCTAAAAGCTCAGCTGCTTGGCTGGGCCGGCTGACACGGCAGGGGAGGACACATTGAGCTGCAGGTTTTGCTGGAGCAGTAAAAAGAATCAGGAGGAGAGGAGGGTGTTGAAGGCTGTGGGGCCTGGTCCCATCAGACCCTGGCACCGAGGCTGGTGCTGTCTCTTCTCCTTTACGTAGTGAAGTTCCTGCAGGTCCCTGTCGGTACTTTGGGTGCTCGGGCTGTGAGCAGAGCCCCACGCTGCGGACCCCCAGCCATGGGGGGGTGGCCGTGGGTCTGAGCAGTGCGGGCAGACCCGCTGTCAGAAGGGCTTGTGCTTGGGTGAGAGGCAGGAGAGGCTCGTGTTTGCCGAGTGACCTCCTTGGAGAGGCACCAAAGGGGCTCGAGCCCACTGCCCGGGGACAGTTAGGGAGAAGGTGGCCCAGGTCACGCCGCTGTCATGGGCGGAGGTGACAGCGAGCTGTGCTGCAGCTGCTGCCCTCTTCCTGCATCTCCAGTTTCCACCCAGAGCCCTCGGGCCAGTCCCCTTTTGCTTTGACAGAGGGCCAGGAGGATTTGCAGTGCGTAGCCTGGCCTGGTGCCCAGGGAAAGGCTTTTCTCTCCTGTTTCCATCAGGGTACTTCCAGAGGAGGCTGGGGAGGGGGCTGTGCCACCTACCTCTGGGGGGACAGAGCTGGTGGTGTGTCTGTCGGCGCCCACCAGAGACAAAGCAGTAGATAACCTGGCCTCTGCCTGTGACAGAGAGTTCTCTGCTTGTGTCTGAAGAGAAATCGCATCCCAATGCCTCACAAGCACGAGGAACAAGGAGATGGGCAGGAAATAGGGGCTTCCTAGCGTTTCCCTCTCCATCTCCTGCCAGGGGCTCCTTTGCTGGCTCTGCATTCCCTGAAGCTGGCTGAACTTCCACGGTAAAAAAAGTGCTGAGCAGAGGAACACACAGCTCTTGCTGAGAAGGACATGTTGTGGTGGCAGCGAGGTGCTCCTCAGGTTTAGCTCTGCTGGGAAGGAGCCTCCAGCTCTTGCAGACACCTATGGGGTGGCTCTTCCTCAGGAGGGCAGAGCCAGCAGAGAGCCTCCTGCCTTTTTGCTGGAACCTCCTTCCACAGCCTCAGTAGATGCTTTAGAAATCATCTTCTGCCCTGTAAGAGGATAGACTGAGCTTATACCTGCCCTCGCCTGCTGTTGGCCCCAGGACTCTCTTCCTGGAGCCCTTCTGAGCCTGTTGAGGAGCAGCTGCTATAAGGCAGCTCCAGTGAGCCCTGGAGAGTCTAAAATCACCATGAAGCAGCTTGTGCTGGGCGGTGAATGGAGAAAACCCTTTCCCAAAGCAGCGTAATGCTAAATCCAGCCAGGCTGGGGAGACACGGGCTGTGCCGCTGCGGAGGTGGGATGTGGGGAGCCACCTCCCCAGCTGGTCGGGAGGGCTGAGGCTGCGTTTGGGGTGCACAGAGGCCTCTGTTAGATTATAATAAGGTGATAATAATATAATAGGTGATATAAAGCTCACCTGCACACCCAGGGAGGAGTACAGAGAGGCAACGGCCAGTGAGGGAGCCCAAATGATGCCCTGTCCTGGCACAATGGTGGATGGAAACCCAAATGATGGACTTGGAGGAAGGGACAACCTTCTCTGGGCTCCTGCGAGGGCTGTGCTGGGGGGCTGCAGACCCAGTGTCCAGGGCTGACACAGCTCAAGCTGGATCAACATCAGAGCACCTTTTGGATAAGGGGGGGGGTTACTGAATATATTCCCAGTAGAAGACCTCCCCCCTGCTCAGCTGGAGGGGGACAGGATGAGGCTGTTGGTGCTGTCTGCGTTCGAGGGAGTGCTCTGCTTTCTGGTCATCTCTGTGCCTGGCCATGTTATATGTGTGTACGTGTTACATATATGCATTTGTGTGTGTGCCTCCGGGGAATATATCCTCAGCCTTGCTGCTGGTTGGACCGGGGGGCACAGAGCAGTGCCTTTGTTGGGCTGCCCAGGTGCAGCCCCATTCCCTACCAAAATCCCTTTCCGCCTCTTCAGGCTGGTCCCAGATGGAGGGTTGAGTCTATAGATGCTGCCTGAGCCCCCTCTGTGGTGGGGCTGGCACCCCGGGCTCTGCCCTGAGCCTTTCCACCCGTGCCCAGTTCGTGTTATTGCTGCAGAGAGACCTGTGGTGGGTTCCTGCTGCAGGAGGAGGTGTCCCACGCTGAGGAACAGCCCCCAATCCTGAGGCAGCAGCTTGGAAGAGGATAGAGGAGCGGAGGTGGCTTTGTGCACAAGCCCTGTGGCCACAGGGGTGTAATACTAGCATTTGATCATGCGAGACAAGAACGTTTTGTCCATGGGCCACCTGTTCCCATGGCTGGGGTACCCAAATAGCAGCTCCTCTTCTGGAAACACAAACTCCGGGAGCTCTTCTACGTGACAGCCCCTCTGTCTGCTCGGGGCACTAGGCAGCTGCTGCTTTAACAGCCAGGACATCCTTCTCGGCCCATTCTTGCATTAATTAAGAGGCTTTTCTTTGTGTGGTGGGACCGGCTGGTAACTGGAGACATCTGCCTCTGGTCCTGGTCCATGTAAGTGAGAAATGAGGCGTAGCCCAGGTGCATGTAAAGGTATATGCACCAACGGTAGCTGCGTATTTTGTGCAAACTACTGTGAGAAACTTGAGGTCCCCCTGTGTTTCCCAGTGGCCAGAGCAGCATCCCAGTATGTTGCTGGGGTGAGCATCCAGCCTCTTGAGACTGTTCATCTCCCTGTAGCCAAAATACCCCTCTCTCTGAATAGGACTCAAATTAAATGCAGTAGGACGGTTCTGCTTGTCTTTGTCCTTCCCTGCCCTCCTCCTGGAGGCAGGACGGGACATCAGCAGGTTGGTAAGGGGCATCCTGAGGCATGATTTAGATGAGATGTGGGGAAGAAAGTCTTTGCTGTGAGGGTGGTGAGAGCCTGGCCCAGGTTGCCCCAAGAAGCTGTGGCTGCCCCATCCCTGGAGGGGTTCAAGGCCAGGTTGGAGGGGGCTTGGAGCAACCTGGTCTGGTGGGAGGTGTCCCTGCCCAGGGAAAGGGGTTGGAACTGGTCTTTAAGGTCCCTTCCAACTCTAACCATTCTATGATTTAGTCTGTTGCAGGAAATGGTTCTTTCATCAGGTCCCCATCTTGCAAAAGGGGCCAAAGGAGCGATACCTGGCTTTCCCTGGTCTTTTTCTCTGCCACTCTTGCTCAGTGTCAAGAGGAGACACAGCCAATGTGAGAATACATTGGTGGACTCGTGGGAGCCTTCATGTGCTGCTTGTCCGGCTCTCAGGCTCCTGGGTTCCCCTTGCTTGAGCTTTGTCCAGGACGGGCTCTTCAGAGGGCTCTCACCGAGGTGCCCCACAGCCTTCTTTCATCCGGGAACTGCCTGCAACATGGCTTGGCCCATCCTGGTGAGCCGTGAGATAAGCCCTGCGGTCTGGGGAGCTCATCGGACATTCCCAGAGTCCCAAAGAGAGTGTCCGATGTGGCTGTGGTGTAGCCAGGCAGGAGCAGAGGCTGGTGCGGCACCAAATGAGGGAGGAACGGGCAAAGCCGCCTTCCTGGAGGTTGGCCGGATCCTTCTGGCTCCACAGAGCCACCTTGTGGTGAGACTGATCTCTGCACGCCGCTCCGCCCCTCCCCTGCCCACAGGCAGCTGCAGCCTCCCCTGCGTTTTTGGGAAAGACCTGGGAAAAAGATTTGTGGGAACTCCTTGCCTTGGAGTGAAAAAATAATATTCAGTGTCAAGGGGGAGAGGAGGAGGAGGAGCTGATGATTGTCCCGCTGTCTTTCCATGAAGAAAACAATGAGGTCTTGGAGAGAGTGAGAGTATCGCTGTAATGGGAACATGTGGAGCTGAGAATAAGTCTGATGAGGAGAGGCTGAGGGAGCTGGGGGTGTTCAGCCTGGAGAAGAGGAGGCTGAGGGGAGACCTTATTGCTCTCTCCAACTCCCTGAAAGGAGGGTGTAGAGAGGTGGGGGTCGGTCTCTTCTCTCAAGTCACAGGCGACAGGACAAGAGGAAATGGCCTCAAGTTACGCCAGGGGAGGTTCAGGCTGAATATTAGGAAAAATTTTTTCACTGAAAGGGTTCTCAGGCATTGGAATGGGCTGCCCAGGGAGGTGGTTGAGGCACCATCCCTGGAGGTGTTCAAAAGACGGGTTGATGTAGTGCTGGGAGGTCTGGTTTAGTGATGATGTTCCTTGTTTGTTGTGCGGGTGTCTATTTTTGTCAGTTAGGTTGATGGTTGGACAAGATGATCTTGAAGGTCCCTTCCAACCTAGAAAATTCTGTGATTCTGTGATTTATAAGTAATATCATTACTTATTTTATCTGGCCACCACCTTGTTTCTTGGAATACGAGTAGTACATTTCCAAGCTGATTTAGAGCTTCAGTTGTAGCTGTACCCGCCTTGACAGAAGGAAATAATTAATTATAACAGCAGGAAAACTGAACAGAAATCCCTGTGTAGGTGTGGTGAGAGCTTTCCTTCTGCTTGCCTTCTTTCCTTTTCCTCATGACCTTCTGCAGGGGAGGACAGGCTGGGCTGTCCCCATGGTGGCACTGTGCTGGCGTGCCCTGGAAGCTCACCGCATGGTTCTGGTGGCACAAGGGCCACAAGAGTGGCCGTGGGTTTCTGATCCTCCTCTTGAGGGTCAGCGTGTCTGAGTGGTAATGGGAGGAGTGGGGCTGGCGAAACCCAAGCTCCCCCTTTCTGAAGGATTCTGCCTTGGGGGTGGCTTTGCAGTGATTTCTAAAAAGTGCTCATTTGGGAATATCTGCAGCTCTTCCTGAGCATGCGGGGTGACAGGGTGACACTGGATGGCAGCAGCCCAGAGTTGTGGCACAAAAGGGAAGGGAAATGTCTCTTGCTGTGCACTGTGAGCTCAGCCCTTAGCTCAGGCCAGCAAACCCTGTGGGTTTGGTCAGTCTGAAAGCGATGTTAAAATACACTTTGCTCCTCTTCTGGATCTCCTGCCTTTCAGGGGAGGCAGTTAAATCAATCGTCTAATGCCCACTGGTCCTCAGCTGGCCAGAGCCATTGGTGCTTCAGGTCTCGTCTGGGATGCTCTCCACTGTCGGGCTCAGGCAGGCAGATGGCTCCTTGCTGAAGACCTGTCTGCAGCCAACCTGATGGTCACTGCCATGTCACACAGAGTCACAGAATGCTAGGGGGCTGGAGGGGACCTCTGGAGATCATCCAGTCCAACCCCCTGCCAGAGCAGGGTCACCCAGAGCAGGTTGCACAGGAACGTGTCCAGGTAGGTTTGAATGTCTCCAGAGAAGGAGACCCCACCACCTCTGGGCAGCCTGTTCCAGGGCTCTGCCACCCTCACAGGAAAGAAGTTCCTCCTCATGTTTAGATGGAACTTTCTACATTCAAGTTTGTGCCATTTCCTCTTGTCCTGTCACTGGGCACCACTGTCTGCCCAGTTTTGTTTGCTTCACCCTTACAGGAAAAGAAACAAAGTGGGGCCTTACCCCAACGTCTTCACTTGTGTTTGTGTTTGACAGAGGGGCACTGTAACCTGTGGCTGACTCTACCATTGACTTCCTTCCCAGGTGATCATCGAACGCTATAAAGGGGAGAAACAGCTGCCGGTGCTGGACAAGACCAAGTTCCTTGTCCCAGACCATGTCAACATGAGTGAATTGGTCAAAATAATCCGGTGAGTGGGGTGGCCCTGGCCAGCATGCTGTGAACCTGTCCTCACCCACAGGCCCTGAGGTGGGGTGAGGGGGAGGGAGAGGCAGCTGCTGAGGGTGGGATGGGGACGTGACAACCACAACACCCTTGTGTTTTGGCACAGAATGCTGTGGGGTGTCAAGGGGGGGCAGGTTCTGAGCATCTGGTGAAGGACTGTGACCTCTCCCTCACAGGGACACTCCATGAGCTGATGAGGGGGACTCCAGCCTCCTCCTTTTATCCTTCAGCTCAGATGGAAGAGGCCCTTCTGCATTGCCCTTGCCAGCAGTGCTGGGTGAAAGGGGCTTTGTGGAGTCCCACCTCAGGAGGCCTGGGAGCCCTGAGCAGCTCAGCTGGGCTCATGGACACCGTGTCCTCAGCCCGTGAGAGCAGGTCTCGCTGTGTGGGCGTACGAGCAGCATTGCTGGGGGAGGTAGACCTTGCTGTCACAGTGCCCACCCCAGCTGGGTTGACCCAGGTCCTTCTGCCCTTGTCCCCACAGGCGTCGCTTGCAGCTGAATCCCACCCAGGCTTTCTTCCTGCTGGTGAACCAGCACAGCATGGTGAGCGTGTCCACCCCCATCTCGGAGATCTACGAGCAGGAGAAGGACGAGGATGGCTTCCTCTACATGGTCTACGCTTCTCAAGAGACCTTTGGCTACTGAGGCCTGCTGAGAGGTGGCATGTGGAGACAGATGAACTGTGGCGCACGGGCCCCCGGCCTTGGGAGACAACACCACCAGAGGCTCACCAGAGGGGGGGCCGCGCTGCCTCCCTTTCTCTCCCTCCCTCCCCTTCCCACCACCCCGTCACCAAAGAGGCTCGTGGCGTGTGTTGGACTGGCACAACCCTTCACCTCCCTGTAGACCAGCCCCGCTCCCTTCCACACCCACCCACCCACCCAGGGATGGACGGACGGACAGATGGACGGATGCCCACGCGCCCACCTGGGGGGCCTGGGCTCCCTGTCCTGTCCCTTCCCCGTGGCCCCCTCCCCGGCTGCTCTCGCTGTGCTCTGTGTGCGTGTCCGTAACCCCCTGCCAGGAGCGATGGGCCGGTGGTGGAGGGAGGAGAGGACGCTGTCGCCTCCGCTTTGGGCACGGGGAGAGCCGCCTCTCCTCCCCCGCGCGAAGGAAGGGCAGGAGGTTCTGCAAAAGCAGCGAACGGATGTGACCGTTGCTCCCCAGTTTTAATTGATTTTAATTACACCCATATCAGATTCTTGGTGCTACTGAGTAGATGTAGGCGTCTCTATAGGACTGTGGATAATGTATATCCTTTAGATTTATTTTATTGGATTTTTTTTTGTTGGTTTTGGTTTTTTTTTTAGGGGTAGATGGGAATGGGGAGAGGGGGGAATCTTTCCTGTATTCTGTAGGTCAATAAATCTGGCTTCGTTGCACTTTAAAAGCATAGTAGATGTCAGAGTGGAATTTACTTTTAATTTATACAGGTTTGCCATATATAGTGCTGCTCCTCTGTTGACAGTTGTACCTGGATCGTCTTTTGTTTCTTTTTTTTTTTAAACAAAATTGATTTTCCTTCTCTCTGTCTCCCCATTGCATGCAATTTTTCAGTCTCAGTGTGGCAAAGAGTTTGCTCAAGGAATGTACTGATTTATATTTGCTATGTTCCCATTCCCGTTTCTTGTGTATGATACCAAAAAATGGTATATGATAAAATCCCAGCCAGTTTAATCTATACAAAGGTATATATATATAAATATATATAAAATAAACATAAATTCAAGTCGTGTCTTGTAGGAATGTTATGTTCCCATCTCATTTGTCTACATTGATGACCCCGGTGTCTGTCAAGCAAGAGTGCTGCGTGTTCCCTGTGTTTGCAGGTGTCTCACTGTGTGCCCCCCTGAGCCCCTGGGGCTGGGGGGCCGAGGCCAAGGTGGAAGCTGGTGGGTTCCAAGGACACAGCACAGGATGGTGACGTGGGAAACACAGGTTTCCTTGCACCACCCAGGACACAGTGTTGGGTAAATCTCTCGCCCTGTGGCCATGTTTCTTCATCTGGCAATGAAAAAATTGAGGTGGAGGGCATTTGCAAAGTCTCTGGAACAGAGACTTTCTTCTGTACTGGGCACTGGTCAGGTCCCACCTCGAGGGCCCCTCACCACAAAAAAGACATTGAGGGGCTGGAGCGAGTCCAGAGAAGGGCAACGGAGCTGGTGAGGGGTCTGGAGCACAAGTCTTGTGAGGAGAGGCTGAGGGAGCTGGGGGTGTTCAGCCTGGAGAAAAGGAGGCTGAGGGGAGACCTTCTCGCTCTCTCCAACTCCCTGAAAGGAGGGTGTAGCCAGAGGGGGTCGGTCTCTTCTCCCAAGGAACAGGCGATGGGACAAGAGGAAACGGCCTCAAGTTGCACCAGGGGAGGTTCAGGTTGGATATTAGGAAAAATGTTGACACGGAAAGGGTTATCAGTCATTGGAATGGGCTGCCCAGGGAAGGGGTTGAGGCACCATCCCTGAAGGTGTTCAAAAGCCGGATTGACATAGTGCTTCGTGACATGGTTTAGTGATGGTTTCTATCAGAGTTAGGTTGATGGTTGAACTCGATGATCTTGAAGGTCCCTTCCAACCTAGATGATTCTATGATTCTATTTTGGAAGCTTTGAGGGGTGCAGGAGATCCCCATGAGCACTCAGTCAAGGCTGTTGTCCGACCAAAGGCAGGGCCTGATGGCTGCTAGCATTTCAGTGGGTTTCCCTGCCCCTCACTTTGCTCTTCTCTGGGCTGCCCAGCAGAGAGGGTTTAGGTTCTGTTTGCTGGAGTTGCAGCTGATATTCTTATGTCCTGTGCCTGCAGGGGACCTGCCCAGGGAAGGAGCTGGTGACAGGGACAGACCCAGCAGAGCACAGGCAGGCAGGTAAGCACCCAGCAGAGTGTAGGGGAGAGCAGTTGCCCCACTGGGCAGCAATGGGGTTGCTCCTTGTTAAGCACCAACCTCATAGTATTTACAACTTTTCTGGGCAACCTGGGCCAGGCTCTCACCACCCTCACAGCAAAGAAGTTCTTCCCCAGATCTCATCTCAATCTCCCCTCTTTCAGGTTAAAACCCTTCCCCCTCGTCCTATGGCTCCCCTCCCCATCTCTCCTGGAGCCCCCTGAGGGACTGGAAGGGGCTCTAAGGTCTCCCTGGAGCCTTCTCTTCTCCAGGCTGAGAAGCCTGGAGAAGAGCCCCAACTCCCTCAGCCCCCCCTCCCAGCAGAGGGGCTCCAGCCCTCCCAGCATCTCCATGGCCTCTGGATCTCTCCTCCTACTATTTTGCAGACAGTTTTTGCTGGTCTCCTTTCCTCTCTTCTGCCCATAGTCCCCCGTGACTTGCAAATAACAGCAACAACTGGAGCTGCTCACTGTAGCCCCAGGGGCACATGACAGCCCTGCTCAATATGAGGGAATCTAGAGAACAAGTCAGACGAGGAGAGACTGAGGGAACTGGGCATGTTTAGTTGGGAGAAGAGGAGGCTGAGGGGAGACTCATTGCCTCTACAGCTACCTGAAAGGAGGCTGTAGAGAGGTGGGGGTTGGCCTCTTCTCCCAAGGGAATAATGACACGACCAGAGGAAATGGTCTGAAGTTGGGGCAGGGGAGGTTTAGATTAGATATTGGGAAGGATTACTTTCCAGAGAGGGTGGTCAGGCACTGGAACGGCCTGCCCAGGGAGGTGGTAGAGTCACCATCCCTGGAGGGATTTAAGAAGTGTGTAGATGTGGCACTCTCTGCTGCACCAGATCCAGAAGGATCTGGACCTGGGCACCTCCTGGGCCACCAGCGCCAACCAGCAGTCACCGGCCAGCGCCTGCAGCTGGAGGCTCCTCATCTTCTTCTCCTTCACTCATCTGGCAGGTGACAAGGTCTTCTGGATCTGCCCGAGCACAGAGGGCAGGGGTGAGCAGCCCTGCTCCCTGCCCCGCGGGGCCCAGGCACAAACCCTCTGGGCTTCCTGTGGTCATGGATGGGGAGCACATGCCTGTGCTGCTGCTGGTGCCTCTCTGTCCATTGCCTCCCCCACCTCCCCGTCCAACACCAGCACCCCCACACCCCTTTCTGCAGGGCTCATCTCCAGCCGCTCCTCTCCACACTGAGACTCGGGCCCAGGGGCACAGGACGCCATTTGGTCTTGGTCAAGGGCAGGGAATCATGGAGAATGGCCCAATGCTCCCACCCACCCATCTCCCTCTGCAAGCCCTCTGGTCCCTCCAGAGAGTCACCAGCACCTCCCAGCTCGGTATTACTAGGAAAAGTGGGTGGTTGAGGGGGGCCAGTGGGAGCCCTGTCTTTTGGGGGATGCCGGGAGCTTGGCTCGCCCTCTCCCCACAGCCCTGCAAGGCCAGGGGCTGGCAGAAGCCCTCCTGGGCTGCTCATGCCCTGCTAGGATGGAGCATCCTTGCACGAGGGGACACATCCCCAGGGGAGCCCAAGTCTCCCCGGGCTGGTGCCGCACGGATGCTCCTCGCCGGGAGCAGCCGGGTGCTGCCCCGAGCCTGAGCCGGTGCCTCCTCTGCCCCTTTCCAGGCTGGAGCCAAGGGAGCCGAGCCCTGCCCAAGGAGCAGCAACGAGCCCAAAGGGTGGCTTCACAGCATAAGGAGCTTCAGGGTGTCAAGGCAGGCACAGGGCTGGGTCTGCGCGGGAGGTCTGCGCGGTCTCTGCCTGGGCCCGTCCAGGCAGGGAGTAGGGCTGCTCACCCCTGCCCTCTCTGCTCCGCCAGATCCTGACCTACTCCAAAACGATGAGACAGCAGAAGATGATCCTCCAGCTGCAGGTGCTGGCTCGTGATTGTTTGTGGGTGCTGGTGGCCCAGGAGTTGCCCAGGTCCAGCCAGCTCCCTCTGGGCACATGCCCAGGGCTCCCACTGCCCCACGACTCTGCCCACATGGTGAGAGAGTTAGGGTTGCTGAGACCCCCGTCCTATGGGTCCTCTCAGCTGGCCAGGACTGGACCAATGCACTTTTCTGCCACTCGGCCGGGCAAGAAGTGCTGATGGATATCAGCGGTTTGTGGGCTTCCTTCAGCCTGGCCAGCCGTTGCTGAAGCTTCTCCTGAAAAGCAAGACACCGGGTTGTGGCTCGCTGATGCCTGCACAAGCGCTCACGCCCCTGCGTGACACGAGGCTTCACGCGGGCCCAGGCCAGGGACCCACTTCAGGCTTTATGGGCATTGATCAGATCCCCCCTCAGTCTTCTCTGGACTCAAAAGACCCAAGGCCCCGGAAATCCTCAGCCCCTCGGCATCCCACCCCTGACCGGTGGCCACTAACGCTCTGCTCTGCCTACCTCTTCTTGCCTGTACACCTGACTAGGAAAAGTGGGTGGTTGAGGGGGGCCAGTGGGAGCCCTGTCTTTTGGGGGATGCCGGGAGCTTGGCTCGCCCTCTCCCCACAGCCCTGCAAGGCCAGGGGCTGGCAGAAGCCCTCCTGGGCTGCTCATGCCCTGCTAGGATGGAGCATCCTTGCACGAGGGGACACATCCCCAGGGGAGCCCAAGTCTCCCCGGGCTGGTGCCGCACGGATGCTCCTCGCCGGGAGCAGCCGGGTGCTGCCCCGAGCCTGAGCCGGTGCCTCCTCTGCCCCTTTCCAGGCTGGAGCCAAGGGAGCCGAGCCCTGCCCAAGGAGCAGCAACGAGCCCAAAGGGTGGCTTCACAGCATAAGGAGCTTCAGGGTGTCAAGGCAGGCACAGGGCTGGGTCTGCGCGGGAGGTCTGCGCGGTCTCTGCCTGGGCCCGTCCAGGCAGGGAGTAGGGCTGCTCACCCCTGCCCTCTCTGCTCCGCCAGATCCTGACCTACTCCAAAACGATGAGACAGCAGAAGATGATCCTCCAGCTGCAGGTGCTGGCTCGTGATTGTTTGTGGGTGCTGGTGGCCCAGGAGTTGCCCAGGTCCAGCCAGCTCCCTCTGGGCACATGCCCAGGGCTCCCACTGCCCCACGACTCTGCCCACATGGTGAGAGAGTTAGGGTTGCTGAGACCCCCGTCCTATGGGTCCTCTCAGCTGGCCAGGACTGGACCAATGCACTTTTCTGCCACTCGGCCGGGCAAGAAGTGCTGATGGATATCAGCGGTTTGTGGGCTTCCTTCAGCCTGGCCAGCCGTTGCTGAAGCTTCTCCTGAAAAGCAAGACACCGGGTTGTGGCTCGCTGATGCCTGCACAAGCGCTCACGCCCCTGCGTGACACGAGGCTTCACGCGGGCCCAGGCCAGGGACCCACTTCAGGCTTTATGGGCATTGATCAGATCCCCCCTCAGTCTTCTCTGGACTCAAAAGACCCAAGGCCCCGGAAATCCTCAGCCCCTCGGCATCCCACCCCTGACCGGTGGCCACTAACGCTCTGCTCTGCCTACCTCTTCTTGCCTGTACACCTGCTCAGCCTGCAGCTTGAGCCTCGTCAGGTATTGTCTATACTCGTTGAATTCTTTCAGAGTGGAAACCACCTACGGAGAGAAGAGGGGAGAAACCCCCCAAGAACTGTCAAGCCAGCCAGAAGGGCCTTCTCCAGAGCAGCCCCAGTCCAGCCCAGGGGAGCTGCTCCTCTGCCCACCCTCCCTCTGCCCTCGGGGGACCCCTTTTATCAGCCGCATGACAGCCAAAACTACCCTGCCATGGCTGGTAATGAGGTCCTGACTCATGTGGTGACTTATGGAAACGGCACAGCCCATACCTTCAAGCGGGAGAGTATGAACCATCACCTTCCCCACAAAGCTTTTTGGTTCTTCCCAGGGTGACACAGGGAATGCTCGCACCATGATTGAGGAGCACTCTCACC